GGTCATGGCTTCCTGTAGGGAGGGGGACTCTCCCTCCAAGCAATAACTGCCTCCGCACCCGCCTTCCTGTCCTCCATGCCAGAAGTCGCGTCGAGCAAGGTTAGCATTTTCTCTCTTCGTACTGTATTTTGTTTCATATTTTTGCAGTTTTTTAAAAAAATACATATGGTTCAGAACGGATTAACCGTAATTACATTGAACCTTATAGGGAAATTTGATTCGGGACACGACCAAAATCGGGTCGCGACCAAATTCGGAGGGGTCAGAATGGATTAACCATATTTACACTGAACCTTATGGGAAAATTTGATTCGGGTTGCGACCAATTCGGGTCGCAACCAGAGTTGCGGAACGAATTAAGTTCGTGAACCGAGGTACCACTGTACACTGTAGTTTCTGGTTCAGACATTACACAAAGTTTTCCTTTTTCTGGTTTGTTCTTCTATTTGTGGGAATGGATGGAAGAAATATGAATGCATTGCTAATTACCTTTCCTCCACTGCTTGTCACGTAAACATACATTGTTGGTAGTACTAGTGAGTATATTAGTTGATTTAATTAAGAACACAAGAAGAGTTGAATGGAAACTATACATTTGGAAGGTATCTTTCTATGTACTACTTTACATTGTTTTCTCTAGTTAATTCATTAAACAATCAAAAGGCATTACTGTCATACTGGTTTTTATTTGTCATTCATTAAAATATATGCATTTTATTGCGTCCATATTTTTCATTGAGGTTTGTGTTCTGATGATAAATATATTCCACCTGTAAAGCAATGAGCTCATAATGCTCTTAAAATAGTTTAATGTCCTGTCTTGCAGTGAAATGCTTTGATAAAGATGGTGATGCATGTAACGTATTTCCTATAATTTGAAAATTATAGGCAATGCTTTGTAAACCACCCAGAGTAGCTTTTAACGAGATGGGCAGTGACAAATGTGATATATAAATAAATAAATAAAAATAATTTCTAGGTTTAGGCTCTCTGCTTAGCCTCAGCTAGCTGCCCTCTGTTCCCCAGTTACAAAATAAGACTAATAATATCCACTCTTTAGTGTGACAAAGATCAACCAAAAAATAAAGCATACTATAGTTAGATTATTCCACAACATCTTCAACTTTCAGTACTATACAGCAGAGGTTACCTGTGAGAAGCACTTCAACCCAAGCTATTTCTTTTAAAGCAATGTACACATGTAAATGTAAATATACATTCAAAATGCAGATTTTGAATGATATTATAGACTCTTAACAGCCTGAGCTGGTTTATTAAATTATTCAAAATATTAAATTTGCCTCTAAGAGTTGTGTAATATCAGCTGGGCATTTATTCCAAACGTGTGTATTAACTTTCTTATTTGAAAGAAGTTAAAGTTTTCATGCCATCAGTTTTTCCACCAAGTCTTTTTCTCTTAATTGGAAGGTTTACAATTTTGAATTTGAGAATTTGGTCGAAGTGAAGTAGAAAAATTTTTCCATCAACATTACTAATCTCTTCTCAGATTTTCCATTTATGCTTTTGTAAAATACTGCAAAACATTTTGGTGCTTCTTTTCAATTTTTGTTAGCTCTCTGACTTTTGCAATCATCCTTTGATTTGATGCTCCTTAGGATTAAGGATAACTATTGAGCTAAGGAAATCTAATTGTAGAAATTAGCTTTACTTTCTGAAATAAAATATTTATTAAGCAGCTAAGTTTCCAAACTTAAATCATCATCATCATCATCATCATCATCATCATCATCATCATCATCATCATCATCATCCTATATGACTCCCACTTCCGTTATATGTGCATTTGATAGTGAAGCTTCTTGCTGACCACAAATGGAGGAGTCAGTTTCTCTGATCTTAATTTAGAATTCATTTTTCCTTTGACATTCTAATTTTTAAAAATCATTTGTCTTATTCTAGTACTATGTATGTTTAATGACTATTAGGAACTGAGATAAATGGTTAAATCTCTTGACAAAGAAAATTATACATAATTTATGCCTTCTCTTTTCTATAAGAGCTCATGATAGTTTACATAGCAACAATAACTCTGTGCATTAGGTTGGACTGGGAGATAATGATGTGCCCAAAGTCACTAGTATGTTTCCTGTAATCCTAGACCACTGCAGTACCTCAGTGGCTCTAGTTCCTTTTTTGCCTGACACTAGTGATAAAGTATCATGTCCAAAAAGTTTTTGCCTGATGGCAGATAAATTCACACATGTTGGTTCTGCAAACTTTCATTAATCGACAACTCAGTTACATAAATATTGCTCAGATATATCAGTAGAATGCATTCAAAACAACTGTAATAATCAGCCAAATCTCACTGGCAGACAAAAAAAAGGAAGAAAGGCCATTTCAACAACTATACTGGTGTTTTTTCTCTATATACAAATATGAATTGAAAGTCTCCATGCAGGTTTTGTTAAAACAATGCTGATTTGCTGGAGTAGAGACACTATCCATGTCAAAAGCAGTAGGAAGGAATAGTACGTAGTTTTAATCTAAGCCAGGGGTTCTCAAACTTAGTGAAGCTGCAATCCCGCTAAAAAGATAAATGAATTTCTACCACCTCCCAGGAATAAAACAAATGATTTCATTGAGGTTAGGGTTGAGCAAGAAATAAATGAGCCTACTTGTATTGTGAAATTTTAAGCTACAATAATTATATTTACAAATATTTTATTTGTAAAATAGATTGAAAAACTGAACATCACTAACATGTAGACTTTTATAGATGCTCCAAAGATTATGGATATACTATTACATGCCATGCCAGCAATGATGTTAGAGAGGACAAATATTTCTAAGGCAAGCCAAATCCCACTATTGGTGGTGTCAGTGGACTACCAACATGGAACTAGTTTTCCAAATAATCAACAGATACCAGTTGCTATATCTTGCAGAATTAGAATTTTGTCCATATTAATGCCATTAAAAACCTTATTCCATAAAATACATAATGCTGTAGTCAAAGCAAATCACAAAACTTTACAGATAATTTTGATATAATGGTAGATTTTAATGGATATAAAATTAAAACATTTTATAAAAGAAATAGATAAGTGACTATAAACATTTTCATTTCAAAAAACTGTATATAAACACATGTTGTACTTTAAATCAAACATTTTTTGAGTTTGCAGAATCCTCATGCCTCTGCCAAAAAAAAGGAACAGATTGGTGAGCATAGAAAAATCCAAAGTCCAAACTTGACTAACATGCCAGAGAAAATTTTTTAAAAATTGGCAATCCTCTTCTAAATTGTTCACAATATCCCTGGGAGTTGCAACCTACAGTCTGAGAATTGTGATATATTTATTTATTTATTTATTAAATTTGTCCCCCGCCCATCTCCCCCCAATTGCTCCTTGAATGAAATAAAAGGATGTCCCTTTGTCATTAGATTTTGTGCCTAGAATAAATACTTTGGCTTGAGTGATGTCTCACTACACATCACAAGATTTTATAGGATTAGATACCAACCATGACTTTATCAGTTGGTCATTGATGCTTTAAATAGTCATTATTTGACCAAAAGCTTCATCAGTATTGCAAAGAGAAAAAAGAACTGTGCTTGAGTTTTTGCATGCAAGGGTTTTAAGGATATGCTATCTGATGCTGAAACCAAAAAGCATTTTCTGGCAATTTGATTCCGGTATAAACATATTTCAGTTTTGGAATGAACATAATGCAGAACATCTTGACACAATCCCATCTGTGCTTCTAATGGATCAGAACTAGGCTGCATTACAAAATCTGGTCTCAGTTTGGAGGAAAGAAATATTTTGTCCCATTAAGATCAATATTTTTATTTCAGAAATTGACATGTGCATAACTGTTTATGAAGCTTTTTCAGTCTAAGCTCAAGACCCAACAGAATGCGGATAAAGAGACTGTAGAGTAGGATCTCTGTCACATTTATATGTGAAAAATAGTATTGTCATGGATGATGGGTATAACAGAAGTCAAAATCCTGTGATCCAAAAAGTTCTGTTTATATCACATTATGAACTAGGTGTAGGCTCAGAAACTATTTTATTCATCCCCACTGTGTGGTAGCTATTTTCCAGAGCTCCAGAATTATGCACTTCACTGAGAATGTAAGGCTAGGTAACATTGTTCTTATATTATAGCAGGAAGAAGGGATAGCAGCAGTGATGTCTGAAAAGAATCTTAAACTGAGCATCTCAACCCATGCTGCTAATCACGATGTTCCTGTACTTTGTCCTGGGCTGCTAGATATTTAAACATTAACACTTTATGTGATTACTGAACAGCAAATGAAGGCTATAC